AAAAAAAAAGTGATCTAAGTATACTCCTTTAAACTCTTAGGGAACAGAGATCCCTCTTCACAAAAAAAACCTTGCTTCATGTCAGTAAGGCAGAAATATATGCTGGAGACAGAGATGTCAAGTACATCGCAACCTGTGTTTCTTTACCTTTACTTTTATTATATCAACACCGTTCAGTTATAATGAGAACAATTATAAAAAAGTTCAGTCGAAATAACAATAAGAACTCTACTAATAATAATAATGATAAATAAATTTCCAAATTCCTTGTGCTATTTTTTTCCTTGAGATTACACAGCACAGATCTGAACAATTTTGATATTGCAAAATACATAACAGGGTCGAACTGGTGATCTTAATAACAATAAAGATAATAAACACAAGTCGATTAGACGTAGACAAACTGTTTACAAATTGCATTGGAGAGCCAATAATATAAATAATTCTATTTGGCGAAAATCCATTCTGAGCCTAAGGGAACAACATTACTGTCGTGATTAAAAGTATAAATAAACGAATGACAAGTTCCATTTAATATAAAATACACGGGAGTAAACAAAAAACAAAAAACAAAAAAACAAAGAAATACACTTCTTTCGTACACTGAAACATCAACACAATTTTTTTTTCTTTACATCTCTCACGTTCTTTTTTCCGTGTTTTTTTCCTTCTTCCTTTCTTTCAAGTCTTTCCTTTTATCTCTTTTCTTTCGTCCTGACCCGAATTTGTGAATGACATCTGAATGACCTATTATGACCTGGCAATGAGACATCCATGACCTTTTGACCATTGGCGACCTGATGTGTGCAACGCTTGGCACTCTGTACACTTGTTTACGCATTGCAGATTAAACTAAACCAGTTTACACACGTTTTATATACTCACAGCCTAGCAAATATACATAATAAACAATGAAAATGAAACCAACAAAAATACAAAAAATACACTACTGGTTATTGTTGTTGTTGTTGTTGTTGACGTCTGAACACTCGTCAACAACAGCAACGAGAGAATTTACAAGTTTGTAGTTTCTTTCACTGCAAATGGCAAGCAAAATATTGCATTGATGCATCACAGGTCGCTAAGAACAGGCAAAAAGAGAAACCGTATTTTTTATGCAACACACACAAAAAAATGGCCTAATTTGAACAACAAAAAATCATAAATCCTTTTGATAATCCGTATATACAAAAAAAAAAAAAAAATCTCTGAATGCTTTACAAATTTATAAAACGACAAAATAAAAAAAAAGGAATTTTGGGGAGAGCGAGAGATGTGATGTATAAAGAAAAGAGGAGACAAGAATAATGAATAATTATAATCATAATAAACGGAGACAGAAATACATTTAAGTTACGACTTGTTGTGTTGTTCAATAAAAAAAAAAGAAAAAAAACACATGGAGACCTAATAATATAATAAAATAAGCGATTTAAATCAGCTAGCACTACCAAAAAAAAAAGAAAAAAAAGAAAAAAAAATTAAAAAGCTTCATCACTTTTACATCTATACCCTGCAAAATACTAGTGTTAATAGTGAGGGAGGGGGGAGGAGGGACAAACCGGTTAACTGAATATGTGCTATCACAAAATCACCACAGCAATTCTGGACCTTATGCTGGGGTGAGTTACAGGTAAAGTTCCTATGACCTCCTAACACCAGCAGTTATAAACCGTTCCCACAACAAACCGTACGGGCAGCTCTGAATCAATCCAATGACATTTCCATTGACCGTGTGATAACGAAATCCCTAAATTATCATTATTTTTTCTTTACGATGGAATGAGGAAATTCTATATAATGTTCCCCGAAGTTCATTTTTTAAAATAAATTTGGGACAGATGGGATAACGTTTCCTAAAATATCAGATCTTGCGGACCGAGAAAAAATACGCGGCAGATTTCTAAGACCGGTGTTTTAATAATACCAATATCCGAGACAATTTTCTTTTATAATTGAAAAGAAGTAAAAGAAAAAAAAAGAAAAACATAGCTATATTTTCTTCAGATCTTCCTTTATTCACAGATAAATAAATAGATAGAGAAAAAAAAAACTAAACTCAACGGCCCTATACATATCAACATATCAAGACACACTAGACAATTTACATAGATCTACTGCTGCGAAAAAACAAAACAAAATAAAACAAAAAAAACACCCGAGGAAAACGTTCGACACATGACCCAAAACATAGCTAGCTGCCTTACATAGGGAAATTGAAACACACAAAAAAAAGAAGGAAAGAAAAAAAAAGTTGAATAAATAGTCTTAAAAAAACAAAAACAAAAACACCAAGCTTTATACAGCACAGGATCTCGGGTTCTAATGACAGGATGTTGAAGGAATATTTATATCAGCTGGTTGCGAGGACATTTACCTTTTCATTATAAATATACTAAAAATATCATACACGCACGCACACAAGCACACAAATAAGTGTATGTATGAATATATATACATATACATAAATATATATATACACACATATATATATACATATATACATACATACATACACAATTACACTTACAAAAATGCACACACAATCACACACGCACGTAAAGTCGAACCATTGAGTGTATACGAGTGTAAATGACCCTTACGTTCAAAGCTATACAACATAAATTATGAACCAAATTAAAAGAGACGCACCTTCCACGACGCACAGCGAGGCTAAATAATGACTTAGAATGTTATTATACACAGAGGAAATGTATTGTTTAGGGGGGCGGGGGTAAGGAGGGGGGAAGGGGGGGGGTCGTTCCTCTCTTCTTAAGGGGGGTGGGGGATTTAAAAAAAAAAGGAAAATTTCACGACACACGTAGGGCATATAAGATAAACAAATATATAATGCTGAGGAAAAATATATATTATAATAATAATAAAGAAAAAAATGACAAAAAACAATAAATAAACAGAAAATAAATAAATAAAATTCATAATCATAGTGATTATGATGACATTTAATATCAATAAATATAATAATGTCAATAAACATAATGATAACATAAAAATGCAGATAATAACACTTAATTTTGAAACGCTTAAGGGTGATAATACTGTGCGACATCTTACGGATACACGATTTTTTTTTACTTTTTTTATATATCATCTTTTATTACGAAAAAGAGGAAACAAATATCCTTAAACTTACATAATTTGGTCGTTGAGAGTTTTAATAATTATATGACTAGTCTTTATCTACGACAATCGCGATAAAATGAAATCAATAAATATGTGGCGTGACTGAGAAAGAAATCATGATAATATAAACAATAATAATGATAATAATAATAAATCAAGAAGAGAGGTTCGGTCCCATTATGTCAAAAAATATTTTTGACGGTTGAGATTAAACAATTAAAGAAATATAATTACTTATGATTAAAGGAATTTTCAGATAAATAATAATATATATTTGCGTGCGACGTTAAGACATCCGCTAGAGTATACATATATATATATATATATATACATATATATATATATATATATATATATATATATATATATATATATATATATATATATATATATATATATATATATTATATATATATACATATATATGTATATATATATACATATATATATGTATATGTATATATATATATATATATATATATATATATATATATATATATATATATATATATATATATATTCTCACAATACAGGATGGAAGAATACTTAACAATTACTATCATTACGAAAGAGAAAATAATATTTCTTACGTTTCTACGACTCTTTGAGTCTTTCCTAAGGGGGGGGAGGGCGTGGGGTGTCCAAGTTCACTTCAGAGTAGCGAATGCATTAATTATATTACGCTCAGCGAATTATTTATAGCACCAATGGATAAGTTTAGTGTGCTGGTCTACTAGATATGGGAAGAAACACGATGTCTGAGAAAGTGAGAAGTTTTAAGAAGAAGGTGATAACGTTTGATAACGTAAAAGATGAAGGGAATAAAAAGAAGAGAGAAAGAAATATATTTATAATACGCGAGATGCAGAAGGATAAATGGATACATGTACTGTATAGTATCTGGAAAAGACACGAGAAAGAGATAGAGAGAGAGAGAGAGAGAGAGAAAGAATCGTTTTCGTTTCTTTGTTTACTTTTAAGGGGGGACTTTCCCATATCTAATAATTTTCGACCAGTCACAGACGAGTGTCAGCCCATAAATAAATACAATAAATAAATCTTCAAATACTCTATTATAAAAAGCAGCAATGCGAACCCTTATTCTTTCTTTTTTAAAAAATAATTAAGGACAGTAAGGAGATAAGAATAAGAAGAGTAGGTCTATCAATATTTACATCAATACTTATTCACTGAAGAAAAACGAAAAATCAATGGAATGTAAGGGATGGCGAAAGAGAGAGGTAATTTATTGATTTGTGAATCAATGAGGAGGAAAATTACAGAAGAGAGAGAGAGAGAGAGAGAGAGAGAGAGAGAGAGAGAGAGAGAGAGAGAGAGAGAGAGAGAGAGAGAGAGAGAGAGAGAGAGAGAGAGAGAGTTCAAAACAAAAACATGTTTACTAAGGAATACTGTTGTATCTTTCGAATACAGACAAGACTAGGCGTGGTTTACGAGAAGAAATGAGACAGACAGATAGACAGATAGAGAAAATATTACGACAGATTCTTCAAAAAAAAAGAAAAAAAAGAGGAAGAACAACAGAAACAAGAATCTTAAAATACGAAATATGAAAAACCAGGCCACCTCATCCCCCCCCTCCCTCCCAGCACTCTAAGGGGTAAACGTACGTATGGTCTATTTCCCCTCCAAAAACCACGGGGAGCTGACCCTTGCCGTTCCCCTTAATAGCACTAGGAAAAGGGGGTTGACCTGGTGACCTGGTCTGGCCTTCTCTTGCAACTAGATGTGCCACTCATGTTGAGAGAAAGAGAAAGATGAAAATGCAAGAAACCCATCTAAATGCACACACAGTAAACATATGAAGAGATTACAAAGGTTTAAATAATAATGAATAATAATAATAATAATAATGATAATAATAATGATAATTACATCTATAATAATAATGACAATAATAATAGGAAGAAATCGAACGGGACGTCGCCTTCTCACTTCCCATCAAAGGCAGAAGCGACGACCCCAAAGAGCCGATTTGGGGGCACGACTTGGCCCCCAAAAAATAAAACGAAAAATTCCGTACAAATGATGATGCAACACACACGTACACAAAAAGAGAAAATAATAACGATGGCAGATATGAGAAGATGATGACTCTATGTACAGTGATGAATTCCCGAAAACGACCGGGCTTTGGTAGCAGGGCACGGATGCTCTCTCCGCGGCCACGCCCTCGCCGACGCCCACGCACGCCCGCGACACAGCAAGGGGAGGGAGCAGGGGGAAGGGGGGTGAAGGGGGCGGAGGGCGTGTTTGTTGCTGTTGTTGTTGTTGTTTCTTTAAGGCGGAGAGGCGGCGGCGCGGTCGCGGCGAGCGGACGCGGCCGGGAACTAAGACGCCGTTAAGGGCCGCTGACGTCACAAGGTCGAGGCGACGACGTGCGCCGACGACGACGACGACGACGAGGGGAAGTCCAGCCTCTCCTGCGGGCGCGGCGTGGGCGGCAGGGAGCCCGAGCTGTGCGACGAGCCCACCGAGCCCAGGGAGCCGACGGGCGACGTGGCCGACGCGTGGGCGGACGCGGCCAGTGATGAGGGGGCGCAGGCGGGGGCGCTGCGGGTGGAGATGGAGCGCGTGAGCGTGTCGCGCGTTCGCAGCATCAGCCACGGATGCTGCAGGATCTGCTCGAGGCTCGGGCGGTCGCCGGGGTTGACCCGCAGGCACCAGCGGATCAGGCTCTGGCACTCCTCCGACAGCGAGCCGCGGAACTGCAGCCGCGCCGACACGATCTGGTCCTCGTACTCGAAGGGAATGTCCCCGCACACGAAGTCGTACAGCAGGATGCCCAGCGACCAGACGGTGGCCGGCACGCCCTGGTACTGGTTCTGCAGGATCCACTCGGGCGGGGAGTACACCTTCGTCCCTGCGGAGGAGAGAGAGAGCGCGGGTTAGCGAAGGGGATCCAAGGAACCGGGGAGGGACGCCTGGAAAGCGAAGTCGAACTAACATTAGGAAGTAAAAGCAAATGGGAGGCGAAGGAAGAGGGGGAATGAAAGAGAGAGAGAGAGAGAGAGAGAGAGAGAGAGAGAGAGAGAGAGAGAGAGAGAGAGAGAGAGAGAGAGAGAGAGAGAGACCGACTTTCACAGCTAGGATCCGTGAACGCCTCGGGGTGAAGAGGGAGTAGGGAGGCAGGAGGAGGAGGAGAACGGGGAGTGGAGGTGGGTGGGGGGGGGAGGGGTGCTTCAATCTCTCAGTTTCACTCACGACTTGAATATCCCCCCCTCGCCCCCTCCCTCCCATCCACCCTTCTCCAAACCCCCAGTTCTCACGCTAACCTTAAAACCCATACTTCTAAGTTTAGTGTTACTGCTAGACTAAGTAATATTAAAATAAGGTTATTAAGGCAAAAATGCCCTCTTGTAATGTGTAATAACAACGTATGCAAAAATGCGTGGCTAGTGATGACTCACTAGAACAAATCGTAAATCAAATACTTGCCAAGAAATGTATCAAAGACCAAGGTTATATAACAATTAAAAGTATAAAAATAAATATAATAAAAACAGAAAAAAAACAATACAATAACGAAACCGATATAAACAAAACACAATCCTTTTTTCTTGCACCAAAGCTAACGTTACATTCACTAAACTCACTTTGCGATTCATCAACTTCGCGTCACGAAGCCCATTCCACCTACCCCCCCCTCACCCCCCCTCACCCCCTTTCCCCCTACCCCAACTCATACATCCCCCTCCCTACCTCCAACCCCAATAGTTCCCCTCCGCGAGTTTCGACCTTATAGGCAGTTTATAATACGTTCATGACCCCTTTTATTCTTCCCTTCTCCCTTTCCCTTCTTCCCCTCTTTCACCAGGTTCTTCTCTATCCCTTTATTTCATCTTCTTCCCCTTCCCAGCATCCCCTTTTCCTCCCTCTCTCCTGCATTTTACTGCTGTCACGATGCAGCTTCCGAAAGGGAGAATGGAGATGGAAGAAGAGGATGATATGACCTTGTTTGGAGATTCTGCTACCTCACGTAACTCTTCTCTTCTCTCTCTCTCTCTCTCTCTCTCTTCCCCCTTCCCTTCCCTCCTTCTCCCCTCTCTACCCACCCCTCCCTCCCTCTCCCCTCTCTCTCTACCCACCCCTCCTTCCTTCTCCCCTCTCAACCCATTCCTCCCTTCATCTTCCCCCCTTCCCCCCCTCTTTAACCCCCCTCCCCCCCCACAAGACACCACACGTGATAGGAGGGCGCGACGAAAGGTCAGGAAAAAGGTCAAATTGACTGTACGTATGATCCTTTCCTCCCTCTGCGCCGCGGCACTAGGTCCTCGCTGGGAGCCATACAAATGATTTCTAATTCGCTGGATTCCGTCCACTTTCTCTCTCTTTTCTCTGTCGCTGTCTGTTCTCCTTTATCCCTTTTTTCATGTTTCTATGTTTCTTTGTCTGTTTGTCTCCCTCCCTCTCTTTTTCGCTTTTATTTTCTCTCTGTCTCTGTCTCTGTCTCTCTTGTTTCTTTCTTCTCCCTCTTCGTCTTTCTAACTTGTTCTCTTCCACTTCTACGCTAGCGTCTTTATCCTTTTCTGTATTTTTCTTCTTCCCTTTTTCGTCTTTCTACTTCATTCTGTCTTCCCTTCACCTGCTCCCCGCGCCCTCTACCACACCTCTTCCTCTTTCCCTCCCCCCTCCCCCTCACCTGTGCCCTTTCCTTTTCCCTCCCCCCTCGCCCTCCCTTCCCCTTCCCTTCCCCCCTTCCCGCCCTCTCCTATGGCCTTCTCCCCCTCCCCCTCCCCTCACCTACGCCCTTCCCCTTTCCCCTCCCCTCCCCTACGCCCCCCCCCCCCTCCTCGAATAATTTCCCAAAGGGGGAACGGCAAGGGAGCGTGATCTCTCATGATTGTCCTCTTTGTGTGTTTTGCTATTTCTTCCTTTATCACTGCTTCAATTATTCCTCCTTCAGCTTCTTTTTTTTATTTCCCTCCGCGTCCCTCCTTTGCCTCCTCTTCTCTGCTGCTATGCCTCTCCTCCCTTTCTCCCTCTTCTTTCCTTTCTCTTCCATTCATCCCTCTCCTTCTTTCCGCTCTGGTCGCCGTCCAAGAAACACTCGAAGAATAACTAAGACGCAGGACCCCCCCACCCCCCTATTCCGTATGCGTTACCCCCCTCCCCCCTTCCCTCCTTCTCCTCTCCTTGGCTTCTCTCCCCCCCCCTTTCCTTCCTCCCTTATCCCCACCTCCTCCACTTCCCTCTCTCTTCTCTTCCACCTCCCTTCCTTACCTTCTATCCACTTCCCCACGTCCCCTTCCTTCCTTCCTCCCTCCCTCCCTCTTCGCCCCCCCCCCCCACAACCATTCCTCTCCCTTCCTCCTTCCCCCCCCCCCCCCTCAGCCATGTACCCCGAAGGAAGACTTAGATGAAGCCACAATAGCTAACGAAATCGCCTGGTCTTATTATCTCCGCCGAGGAAAGGAACAGAGAGGCCTTGACATACCTAATAATCACGATAAATGAGAATATAAATCATGGGGAAAAAAATAAACAAACAAACAAACAAAACTAATAAATAAATCAGTTCATTCATAAGTTGATTTAACAACCAATCATCGTAAAAAAAAAAAAATACGATGATTAAAATATAAGCAACTGGGGGAAGGGGGAAGGGGGGAGGGGGGGGAGGGGGAAGGAGAAGAGGACACAGGTACAACACTTTTTTTTTTTTTTTTTATTTGAGTCCAGATTCGAGTCCAGGAACAAATTAGGAAACAGGAAGGATACAAATAAGATAACGATATCAGGAAGGGAAAAAAAACAAAACAGAAACGACAGAAAAAAGAAAGAAAGAAAAAAATCTAACTTAACCACCACAAACTACAATACATAAGCAAACACAAACAAACAAATAAATTACAAAAAAAAAAAAGAAATGACAAACGAAAAAAAATAATCAAAACCGCTTTATCGAATTCATTCATCAAAAAAGAGAGAGAGAGAATAAAGGAGTGATCTCGCGACGGCAAGAACGTACTTGAGGTGCCAGTGCGTCATTTAAAAAAAAAAGGCAGGAAGAGGTCGGGTTGTATCGTTATATCGATTCCTTATTTTTGCTCAGTAATTGCGCACGTGTGACCTTAAGGGCCTCCGTCGTCATCTCCTGACCTTCTACATGACCTTAGGAGACTTGCTCGGGACCAGCTGATGCTATTAATAAAGCGGACAGCGACGGACGGCTAACGATGAATACTAATGATAATGATGATGATAATTTCAGTTTATATGCGTCATTGATACTAACGGTCATGGTTACTATTCTGATAATGATGGAAGTAATTTGCGTTCATACAAGTCAATGGAAACGGAAAAGCAATAATAAAAGCAACAGCTGAAGATACTAAGTAAACACATAAACAAAACCAGAAAACCAGAGGGAGGGAGGGAGGGGGAGGAAGGGGGAGGGAGAGAGGGAGGGGGGGAGAAGAGAGAGAGAGGAGGAGGAGGGAGAGGGAGGGAGGGAGGGAGGGAGGGAGGGAGGGAGGGAGGGAGGGAGGGAGAGAGAGAGAGACGGAGAGAGAGGGAGAGAGGGAGGGAGGAAGGGAGGGAGAGAAGGAGGGAGGGAGGGAGGGAGAGAGAGAGAAGAAAAAGAAGACAGAAGGATAATATTTAAAAAATCCATATACAGAGGGATCTAAGACGAACTTCGTGGCTGCCCTTCGCTCACCCTGCCCTCAATTTGCGTAGACCTGAGAAGGCCAGCTCCCCCCTCCCCCCACCGCACTCCCCACCACTAAGCACACCCCTGCCTCTTCCTCCTCTTCTCTTCTCCCCTCCTTCCCCTCGCCCCCCCCTCTCTCCCTCCCTCCCTTCCCCCCCCTCTCTCTCTCTCTCTCTCTCTCTCTCTCTCTCTCTCTCTCAAGAAACGAGATGATAAATAAAGAGGGGAAGGGGAAGTGAAGCGAGGAGACGGGGAGGGGGAGGGGGAGGGGGGGAGAAAGAGGAAGTAGGTCGGAGCGCAAAAACCGCATTTGTATTGGTTCCATAGACCGTTCGTGTTCAGCAGTCTGTTCAGCGCTCGCAAATCTCTTTCCGGTGAACAATGTGAACTTTTGGAGGCGATACGAAAGCATGTTCGCTTCTGATTCGAAATGTGATTTGGAATTGAGAGAGGGAGGGGAGGGGGAGAGGGGGAGAGGGGGAGAGGGGGAGAGGGAGGGAGGGAGGGAGAGAGAGAGAGAGAGAGAGAGAGAGAGAGAGAGAGAGAGAGAGAGAGAGAGAGAGAGAGAGAGAGAGAGAGAGAGAGAGAGAAAGAGAGAGAAAGAGAGAGAGAGAGAGAGAGAGAGAGAGAGAGAGAGAGAGAGAGAAAGAGAAAGAGAGAGAAAGAGAAAGAGAGAGAAAGAGAGAAGAAAGAGAGAGAGAGAGAATGATAAAGAAAGAGAAACGGAAGACCAAATCAAACCAAAGAGAGAGACGAAAGAGAATATGTGTCAGACGAAAAAGAGGCGCAGGCAAAAGTCCAGAAGAGGGAGAGGGGAGAACGGAACAAGAGGGGAAGAGGAGAGGGGAAAAATTAGGTCAGCGTTGCCGTGAAAAGAAGGGAGGGCATCCAAGACCCAAAGAGGGGAAGAGGAATCACTGACGAAGAGGGGAATGGAGGAAGAAAATCAGAAGAGAAGGCAATAGATATAATAAATAAGAAGATGACGTTAATGATAATATTAATGATCGTATAATAACGACAAGGATAATAATGATAATAACAATAATAATAAATACTGTTTTAGTAAAAGATACATGAAAGCAAAAATAACTAGGAAGGCATATATATGGAAAAGATAAAAAAAGTGATATACAAATATAGAGCAAATAAAGCAAGAGAGAGAGAGAGAGGAAGGGAGAGAGAGGGAGAGGGAGAGAGAGAGAGAG